ATATATATATATATATGAAGAGAGAGAGGTGTTATGAGAAAGATAGACTGACTGACTACTTACTGACTGACTGACCAACCAAGTGGCAGTAGGAAGGAAAGGGCAATACAAAAATCTTCGGCCTGTAAGAGGCTTTTAATAGATTGATGTCATTCTTCTGTGAGGACTGTTTAGACACTTAAATCTCCCCCTTGGTGCCAGAAAGCAAGCCTCTTCTCAAGAGTGCCTCCTCTTGGTCCTCTACAGAGTAGTTGAAGTTGCACAACGATCACTGAGTGTTGAACTGAAACAACAAGTACTGTGCTGAACATTGAAGCTACAAATAAGAAAAAAACAGTCCCTGACCCATGATGAGCTTACAATCCAATCAGGAAGATAATACACAGAAGGGAAGGAGGGAAGGAGGGAAGGAGGAGGGGTGTTAGAAGGTAACCCAGCTCAGGGACATGATGTTAATGGAGTTAAAAGCAAGCATAGCAGCTGGTGGGAAATGAAGAGTTGGCTGGAATTTCTAAATCCTCTTCAAAGAGAGGTGTAGGGAGTTTTTTGCTCTCTCCTCCAAATCTCCAATTACAGGGGAGAAGCAAGATCCACATATCTGAGTGCTCTGTACATAGCATTTGTTCTCCCACTTTGAGGTAGATTGCACCCAACAACTGTAATACTGTCTTCTTTCAACATGATCTCTTGGAATCTCTAGTTCCGTTTAGTGCTTAACTTCAGGTACTATTTTTCAACATTTCCTGATCCTTCCACTGGTTAATGTTCTTGTCTTTCCCCTCTTACCAAAAAAATATTAAAAACAAACAAACAAACCAAAAAGACTTTTCTATTTACTTCATGTATACCTACTTTGTATATGCTTTTCTTTGTACATTTATGTCCCTTCAATAGAATGTAAGCATTTTAAGGGTAGAAACAGTATATGTTTTTGTCTGTGTACTCCCAGGACCCTGTACGGTGTTGGGTTTTTTCTTTTTTGTTGATAAATACTGTTGAATTGAACAGAAAAATCTGTTCACAAAGTGTAGATATATGATCTTGACTTTATCGTTTAGGAAGAGATTAATTTGGTTGACATTGTTTATAGGATACTTAGCCTCTGGTTCCTTTCCTTCATATCAATCCTGTCTCTGAGGGAGAAGTGGGCTGTCTTTCACAGAAGCACAGATGTTTACCTGGGAAGAAGGAGGTGATGGTCTATACCTGCTGAAGATCTAAACCCAGGCATTAATGGAGACAAAAGGTGTCTTTTTTATTTGGTTGGATTTTTTTTCCCTTTTATAATGTACACTTTTTGCCTCCTATGATATTTCTACCTCTGGTTCTGAAGTTTTTGATCAAGTAGGATGCTGGACAACATTATCTTTATTTTTTTTAAATTATCTTTTTTTTTGTTCTTTCTTTATTTATTAGGCAATTGGGGTTAAGTGACTTGTCCAGAGTCATACAGCTAGTACTTGTCAAATGTCTAGTCTGAGGCTGGATTTGAACTCAGGTCCTCCTGACTCTAGGGCCAATGCTCTATCCATTGTGCCACTTAGCTGCCCCTCAATATTCTCTTTGTTTATAAAATAGAGTGGTGTCTCTTTTTCTGTTCTTATGTTATTACAGCTCCTTATTTTACCCTTTACTTCATTTTGCTAGCAAAAGCATGCTGAATTTCTGTTTTTATCTTCCATGGCCCTACATGTGATGTAACATCTTTGATCCTTTAGCTGCTTTAGTCTTGATACAAATTTCACTTCTTATTATATGTTGCCTTGATGTGTTGGAGTCATTTGCTCTCCTGTTAAATCCAATTCAGAGAACCAAGCCTGAGTTCACCACACAGATAAGAAATTTGAAGACCTGTTTTTGGAAGGGAACCAACCCAATTAAACACCAGACAATTAATAATTGGAGTTTTTGAATACTAGGAATGAAAATAATAATAGAAGCCAGCTTTAAATAAGTTTTTAAAAAACCATTTGTTCTTTTTTATTCATATAAAATGATAGTATTCAAAAAGGATCACAGATTTCAAGAAAATTTTCTTGACAGCCTTTCTTTGCTCCTAATACCCCAACTTTTTCTTCCCTATCCATGTTAAGCTTCTTGAAAATGTCTGCAACTAATGCTGCCATTTTGATCCTTAACCATCCTTGTCTTGGGCTCTTGGAACCTGGTTTTTGTCCATTCTGCTAAAAGTGTTCTAAGGCTGCCAATAACCTCTTAATCACTAATCCAAAGGCATTTTTCCAACCCACATTTTTCTTGACCTCAGTACAGCATACAGCATACATTATGGACAACCATTCCTATTCTTGGCTTATAAGGCACCACAATCTCTTGGATCTTCTCATGTCATTCTTTCCCTATATAATTTACTCAATCAATCAAATAATCAGTCAACCAACCAACAAGCTTTTATTGAATACTCATCATGTGCCAGGTACTGTGGTTCCTCATTGACACACTGACCTCTTAATATTTTTGTACCTCTTCTTTCTTTACAATCTTCCCCTTGGCAATATCATTCACACCTAGGGCTTCAACTGTGACCTAAGCAGTTGAGTCCCAAATGTGGCTTTCCATCCCTTACCTCTCTTTTGAGAACTCATTTCCAACTATATTTTCACTTGGATATTCTAAAAGAACCTCAAAAATCACAGCTGACAACTGGTTTTATTTTCTCCTCTATAAACCTTCTGCCTGTAATCTTTCAGTGGCACTCTTATGTATCTAAATCTCCCATTTTGTAAACCTTTGATTGTTCCTACTCTGCCTCCTAATGAAATTAATAATATTAATCAGGTTGCATGGGGTCCTATTAAAAAGGTTATTTTGAGAGACTTAGCATATTAGCTGTTTATCTGATTGTTTAGAATGTAAGCTCCTTATGGCTTACTGAGTCTCCTTTTTTGTCTCAATACATGCAAATTAATTTATCTGAACATCAATGTTTTTCTTTATAAATTTAATCTATTCATCTTTTATTAAAGGGAGCCCCTTAGGATTTTTACTTAGAACTATGAAGTTAGCAGATAGTTTGAATTAGAGTGTTTTTCAAAATATCAAACTTCATATCTTTTATAAAAAATATTTCTTTCTCATAGTTGTTGTTGATTCATATTGGCTCCCTTTATTCCCACCACCACCACATCCAGTTCGTCCAAATTAATAAAGCTTTTTCCATCACAATTTTATGAAAACCTATGTATTCTGAGGAATACATCACCTGGGAGTCAAGTTCCTAGACTGACAGCTCTATGACACAATTTTAAAAAGCTGGCTTTACTGGGCTCCTAACTATGCTAATTCACGTGGGAATATTGCCCAGTTTAAGAATATAGGCAAACTAGATTATTTCTGAACTTTGGGTTCTGGCAATTCTAATCAATCCAGCCCAAGTAAAAGAGGATGCTTCATAAAACCCTCTTACCATCTTTCTCATCTCTTTGATTCTCTCTCTTTTTTAAAACCTCAAAATGACTCTGATACATAGGAATTTCTTTATTAGTTTAAAGTGAAATGGAAAAAAAATTCTTTATCATTACATTCAACTGTTCACAAATAGCCATCATGTATTTAGAGAATGACACAAAAAGGTAGAAAAAATAGGATTTTCAGATTATTTAAAAACTTGTAAGATATATTTTTAAATGCCAACAAAATTTGAAAAGAAAAAATGTTTTTAAAGAGTCAAAAGTGAATTTAATAGAGGGATCTACAGGATTTTGACTAAGTGCACAAAAAGTTCTCTCTTAATGTCTCATCCAAATACTTCAACTTAAATTTACTGGTAGCTATTTCAGGGGGAAATGTGGTCTTTGCAATCATTAGCTTGTTATAAAGAAACTTTTTTTTTCTTCTGCAAATGTTTAGAAGGAGGATTAAAGACAATTTATTGCTTGGGTAGAAAGTAATAAAAGTAACAACAATGGAGTGTCTTCTAAATTGTCATCATTTTCTGGAATTACTAACAAGATCAGGCTTTTTATGTCCAAAGGAATTGCTTTCATTTGTCATGCTTTAATGTATACTGTATCATTAATCTTCTTGCCACTGATATTGGATTGTATTTGTTTCATTGAATCGTAAAAAGTAAATGTTTCATTCAACTGTATATAAGATGAATTCCTTCATCAGAGCTTTGCCACAGACAGGATTTGAGAAGTATATTTATTATACATTTCTTTTGGATAAATTGGCCTTCTAGAGCTGCATAAAAGGATTTGGTTAAGATGTGAAGTGCCTGACTTTTTTGTTGTTATTATTTTTCCAGGAACACAGTATGCACAGTTCTAAAAAGAAAGATGATCTTTTAAACATAAAGTAGCCTCACAGACTCATAGATCATTAGAGTATCAAGGTCCGGAATGTTAGAGATTATCTAGTTCAATCCTTTTACGTGATAGATGAGGAAATTAAGGCCTACAGTGGGTGACTTGGCCAAATTCACACCACTAATCACTCAACAACAAGTTAGTTTCTTCTCTTTCCCAATCTAAGGGATACTTTTTTTTTCTATTTCCATGAAGAAAGAAGTATTTCCTAAAAGTATGAATTTGAAAAGGGAATCTTTAAATGAAGCTAAAGTGTGAATTTTTTTTTCAAGCTCACAGTTGAGAGACATTCTGTGAATCTCCCTGATGAGACATTCCAAGGTGGTTCTTCAGAAAATGAAGTTTTAAAAACAGGGTGAAAAGCAAATATTGATTATATTCCAAACACTTCCAGCCTAGTGAAGTCTTCCTAAACTTACTCTTTGCCAGCTTAGGCTTGCATAAGGAGAAGTCATTCTCCTGCTTTCATGTTGTCTCCAAATGGAGACTTTGGAGTTTGTCTTTATTACTTTTGATAGGAACCATTTTGCAAGTTTCCATTGTATCTCTAGGGATACCAGTTAGAAGCTCCTCTGTGAAGCTTTTACTGGTTATAAAATTCTCACTTGCTATAGCAGGAATTGTTTATTATTCTTCAGCTTATGTTTCAAAATGTGTTCTCTCCCTCTCTAGAGTAAAAGAAGCAGAGGAAGTGTGTAGGCAGAAAAAAGAAAAATCTCTGTATAAAATAAAGCCGAAACATGATTCTGGAATTGTAAGTATATAGCATACTCTTTGTTTATGACCTGTGGTTTTCAGAATTTGGTCTTAAAATGCATGTAAGAATACATGCACAATTAAACTGATCTATTATTTCATTCTTTTCCCTTCGTGCTGATATCAGTTGTGAGTTTCTTGTTTAGCTCACACAATTGCTCAGACAGAATGCTGCGCCTGGGCTGGGTTAAGGGTGTTCGGAATCTTCAGACTGAAAAAGAGGATGAGACTATTGACAAAAGGGAACCCATTTCTCAAACTTTCTCCAGACTTCCCTTTGAAGTTAGAGTAAATGTTACAATTTGATTAGCTTTATTGGGATGGGAGAAAAATGGGAAATTCCAACTAGTGTTGTCCTTTGCCTGGGGCTGTGAAAAAGAAATTCAGAACCAGGAGTGGCATTACAAAGTTGGTTGCTTAACAGATGTCAGATAATGAGCTGAATTTAACCACCCAAGTTAAGATTTTCCTCTTGCCCACTTGATCCATTTAAATAATGTGACGAATTATTATTCGGGGGAAGGGAGCATTAAGCTTACAAGTTTGCTTCACTAGCAGTGAAGCAAATAATTTGTATAATGTGTATGTTATGGAGTATGCAAACTGATAATTAAAGTATTGAAATTTAGATTATGGAAAGGAGATTCATCATAAGGAGTTCTGCAGATGATTTTGTTTAGGTGACACATTGTATTGATTGTATCAAGCCCAAGAACACTACAGATCTTCCTTAATGGGATCCACAACTGCTCAAAAGAGTTTGGTCTAATTTTTAGTACGGGAAAAAGAAAGCAAATGGATAAAGAATGTCTTTTCATCAGACTATGATATGCAGTTGAATGGACAATCCATTGAGTTAGTGTGTGTGCATATACCTTGAACTGACACTGCAAATGGACAATGAACTGGACCCAGATTGAACAAGGAACACAGCAAATTGGGCTAAATTTGGAAAATTTGTGCTTTAAACAGTCATAAGCTGTTTTCTAAAACAAAACCTGTATTTTAAAATACAAAATTATATTCTCCTAGGATTGCTGTATGGCTGCAACACTATAATCTCTGAGAAATCAAAATTATAGGCAACCTCTGTGCCAGGGATGGGGAACCTGTGGCCTCAAGGCTACATTCTGCCTTCTAGGTCCTCAAGTGCAGCCCTTTGATCAAATTCACACTTCACAGAGGTGAAGTTCACATATGCCAAAGGAAAGACTTATCACTGAGTGTAGCTAGGTTACAGTAAATTACCAAGGATGACTTGCCTGCAACAAATGGCTTAAAAGAAATCATCCTAGAAATTGATGATCAGGAAAAGGCATGGAAGTAAGAGTAAGGGATAAGAAATGGATCACCCAAGTATTACACTGATACTTATCTAATGATAACATTAGATCTATCTATTAAACTCTCTATTGCGATGCATAAATTCTTCATGGGGGATTTATGGAGGCATATGAATATGTCATACAGATTGAGACCATGCAGATAAGTTGCTATCTCATCATTGTCTCTGTTATTGCACCAGCCTCTGTTGAGTTGGAGGGAGCACTCACATCCATGAGATCTATGGAAGTATTGAATTATAAAGTTTGGGAAATGGTTTGGTGCCACCAAAGACAGAAGATACTAAATGAGTCCTTGGTTTATATTTCTAAATGTGAAGCACTTTGGCAATTGGGTTTTGCCAGCATTGTCTACAAAGACAAGTTATTACAATAACCTAAAATGGAATAGGATTAGAAAGGGGGAAAATGAGATGATTAGGAACCATATTTTACTTACTAACACTGTTTTCCTTCCTATTCCTACAAATCATAATTCATTTAATTTGAATCAGGTTTCAAATTTCAGCTTGAAATGTATTGTGCAGACAGCCTCTTTTCAGTACTTTCTTTCCTTAATTGAAATATATGTTTAAAAGGTCATAAGTGAAGGGGAACATTGACTAATTTGTTAACTCTAGTCACATTTCTCTGAGACTGGTGGAGAAACATGGTACATAAAATTGGAGGAGAGTCTGGTTGACTTGGGGGCAGAAGCATATGTTGGTGAAAACATGTTTTTTACACAATCCAAAGCTGAACATTAGAAGCACTTACCATATAGTTTATCTTGTCTAATGAAAACACTGAAAAGAAGCTTGCTCATGAAAGGTATGTAGTATCTTCCTTAGAATCTATTCCAAGTAGAAAAGTTATATTTAGTAACATTGGAGAATTGATACCATTAAACTTCTTAGAAATGTTGGTGGCTAACTTTGTTTCCTATCTTGTCTGTTTGTTTTCAGAAAGCAAAGATAAGCATGAAAATCTGATCGCCAAAAGTCAGAATGGATATATCATTGCCACTAGATCAACAAAGTTCAATGTATTTAGGGGGGAAGGAAACTACATCATTTGGATCATTGTTTTTTTTTTCATCTTGACCTAAGTCTAGTTTCTGTTTTCTTGACTGATTCACTGATCAATTCCTCTGTACTGTGCACAAATTAAATATAAAAGTAAAATAATTAAATTTATTGACCCAGAAAATAAACTACTTTTTACATTAAAAAAAAGTTATTACATGCAATATGTCCTCATTTTGCGGCAATCATTTGTTTAATTTTATTTGGGCTGAATTCCTAAAATTTTGACAAGTATTATCTAATTCTTTATTATAAAACAACCATTTTGTCACATTGATTTTTAGGTGTATATTTGACTAACAGTCAGGTTTTTTTTCTTGATCATTGCCTAAAAGTTTTAAATAGATTTAGCTTAGACAATTTTCCAGGATAGTTACACATTTTTGGATACATTTCCTATCCTTTCATGATATGTTATCATTCAAAGCAGTGGTTAAATATTCCATCTCCATTTGGTAATTCCTGTAATTCTAGAACAATCCTGTTTCTTAGTATATCAAGATATTTATCAGAATTCATCATTCCCTTAATAGGCATAGACTTCTAGGTTCTCTGAAAGATTAAAAAAAAGTCTCCAAAATATTCTTCACAGGCAGATGTTTTACAGTCTGATAAAGATTTCCAGATCTTACAAACTCACAAGGACTTATTTTAGCACCGTTTTTAGAATTTTGAAAGGGAAAAAAACAAACAAACATAGTTTTATCAACAAAAAATAACTTTTCCCAATCTTTGGTACTATATTCTTTGCATCATCTTACCCATGATAAGCATTATTTATTCATAACAATGGTTAGCATCTGATTTTTAATTTGTTTTTTCATTGTTCTTCCAATTTTAAGCATATACACACTGCAGAGGAATCAACAGCAAATGCTCCAACTGGCAACCCCTTTCTCCCAAGGTCTTTGTTCATTTTTTGAGAATTAATTAGGTTGTTATACAGCAGCCGTTTATCAGTTTGGGGTGTATAAGGTTTTTTTTTTTTTATCCACATTTCACATTGCACATTGGTGTAACTGATATTTAATTTGGGGCTGGAATTATCCTGGATTTTCCCATGTCGAAAGCTACTATAGTATCCCTAACAGCAATTAAAGCGTGCACTTTAAGAATTACAACTTTTACACATTTTCTCAGAGTAATATCCATTTTAAAAAACCACTGAATTAAAAAAAAACAATAAGAGAGAGCAATAAAACATGTATGGCATGAAATCTAGCACTTAAATGACAGAAATATGACTAAATACAAGGAAATCAGCTCAATCCATTTTCATCTGGCTAAAGATTAATGGTTTAAGTCAGCTTGATGTTATTAGAAGCATGTAACACAACAACCATTAACTGTTCCAAAATGAAACTAGATCAAAATTATTATTTTCCCCAAGTAATTCACATACCACACCACAATACATTCAAAAGCAACAGCAAAAGTGACCCACCCAGAAGGAGACTAGCAGGCATACCTTTCTTTTTATTGTATCACATATTTTATTCTATTTTATTTTTAAGCCTATGGAATAGTACAAAAAGAACACACATGGAACAACATCTACAAAGATTCTGAAACTAGTAAAACTTAAACTTCAGTTTAAGCCTCAGATTGCTGTGATGTGAATTAATGTTTCCATTTCCAGTAGCAGTTAGACTCTACCACACTGCACTTAGATTCAGAAAGGAAAATGCTCTTCCTAGTGAATTATTTGCATCAATAACATGTCCATGTATTTTGTATTTCAAATATTTAAGTGCTGTCTACCCAGTATAAACAATGCTTTCCCTACTCTGTGGTTGCTCTCCATACCCAAATAATTGTGAAGAAGATGATTTTGGGTATTTTTTTTCCAATTGTTACATTATTCCAGATACTGAATGGGGACAGGCAAGTAAGGAAGGAGGCCCAACCACAACGAAAAGAAACTGTTCTTAGAGATTAACAGGAAAGCAAAGGAATTTTCATTTTAATGAGGATATTTTTAATCTAGTTTTATATTTTCCATCCTAAATGAAACTAATGATTTTCTTAGGTACAATCATTTAGAAGCAGCAACCTATCCTCCTCATTACTGTTTCACATACCCTCTCAAATGACCATTTATCAGTATTTGGAAGGAATTAAAATGCTTGATGCCCAGAGACTTTCAGCTCATGGCAAGAACTGGAATAAAATCAGCCCCTGATTGAATTGCAACCTACTTCCATTTTATTATTTGTGACCTGCCAGGGTATTTGGGCAATACTAAGAGGAATCATAAATGTCCTTGGCTCTCTCTGAATTAATAATATGCCAGGATAATTTAAAAGATGCAAAATGAGAATGTAGTTATATTTGCTATCTAATAGATTATTTTTAAAAGCTTTTCTTGTTTGTTTTTCTTTCTTGTCTTCTAGCTGAGAAGAAAAAATTAATAGGCTTTAAAATGCATTATGATGGCAGTAGGCCTAACCAAGGGTGATTCCTTAAGGGAATAAAAAAGCAGTATGTAGTCATATTAGTGTTGTGTGGTAAAGGGGGATAAGTTTTGCTATTTTGAACCAGCTGTGGAAAGCAATTAAAAACAATAGGCTACTTCAATGGCACTGATTCATAATTATGTTTGTATTTATGTAAAGTATAGACTGATGCTCCTATATTTGAGATTTATTTTAAGTGCAAAGATAGTTTGTTTATTTTATAGCCTTCCTGTTTCCCTCAACTACTTGTATATTACCATACTATACTAAAGTAATAGGACATTTAACAAGATGACTATGTGCAATATTGTATTTAGTGTTTCTATTTCAATTTTTCTAGAATGTTAATTTATATGAAAATAAAATGAATAATAAAATTGTTTTCTTATGTTACATGTGTTGCCTAAGAATATCTTTAAATCTCTAGTCTTATTTTTTATCCAGGAAAAAATGAGAAATAAAATCTTTTATCTACTATTTTTAGAAGGAACAGGAAAGTTGAATTTCTATTGCAGGCCTGATCATTGTTAATGGTATATACACATATATATGTATAAATATATATATAGATATAGATATATAGATATAGATATAGATACAGATACAGTATTTGTGTAACTACAAGGATTATTAGTTATTCTACTTTATCTTGGTAATTTGCTTTATTAGAAAATGAATAGCATTCACAAATATTAAACATTAGATGCAGGTAGAAAGAATATTACCTTCCAAAGATAAAATAGTAGATGAAGGTTTACTGGTACAAAAATGTAAGTTCATGGGTAAGCATGTGTGTGCACACAGGAACAGACACACACACACACACACATACATCCACACAAACACTAAGATTAGCTAGTCATGTGAGGAAAGTAAAGGACAAAACTCTCAGCATGTTGGCTAGACAACCTCTGGTATATATATATGTGTGTATATATATATATAGATATACCATATATATATATATATATATGTGAGAATATGGATGAGAATTAATGAGATCACAGATTCCTTGGTATATGGAAGACAAAAATAGAATTACTATATTTGGTAACTCTTTTAACAACAATTCATTTTTTGTGTGTTTCTACAGCATATGAGACAATATAGTGGCTGGGGAGTAAGAAAGCAGATAGGAATAATAAAAAAAAGACAGTAAAAGAATTGAGAAAAAGAAAAAAATCCCAAGAAGAATGCTAGCATTTTTGCTTTCATAAATAAATCCTACCCATGCTATTATTGGTAATATTGATCACTTCTTTCCTGTCAGGGGTGTAGCTAATGTACAACTTTAGATTACGAGGCCATTTAGGAAAGGAAAACATCTTAAAATCATAATTTTCATTCTTCTCACCTCTGCCTCTTTGACAATTGGGAAACACTGAAGTTCCACACATTTGCACTGGGAACTTAACAGGTTATCTTTAATCACTGAAATTCTAAGGCCTTGAAACAACTTTATATTTCCATAATATATACTTGTATTTTAATTTTGATAACATGGATTTTTAAACCATTGTAGAGCCATATCACAGTGCACTGTGATATCACAATTTTTCTGCTTGAGCTTAATATGCCATGTGCCACAATAACACCTGGTCATAAAAGACATTGCTATAATGATTTGTTCCCAAATGATCACTTTCCTGATGGTGGCAAACAACTCTGATGTTTTAGAACACTTGTAGAGACTGTGATTCATTAACGTGATGCAAAAAAATGTCCTTTATCTCTTACCTTAATTGATATTCTGTTATTTCAAACTTATAAAGTCAAGAAATGATTCATTTTATATATGCTTTGAACTTAAAGAATTTGCTAAATTGAATAGCACTGTATTGGACATTGGCACCCACCAGAGTATATGATATTATAGCCTACCACTTAGAGACATTTTATGTGACAGAAAAGGAAGGAGTTAAGTTACAATTAATCAACAAGCATTGATTAAGTACCTATTAAGTGCCAGCACTTAATAGGTAGGCCTTGAGGTCACAAATACTATGGACCGTCCCTGCCCTCAAAAAGCCTACGTTCTACTAGGGGATACAAAATGTTCACAGATCGAGTGTACAACCAAAAAAGAAAACCCACATAACGGTAGAGTGGGAAGATACCAACTACTAGGAGAATTAGGAGAGTCTTCTTGATGGAGGTGACTAAACTATGAAAGAAATTTGGGATTCTATGTGGCAGAAGTGTGGAAGAAGGAGTACTGTTTGTCACTAGATGACAGGTAGGAACTGGAAACATAGTATGGGGAATCTGGTCTACCTCTTCTCTTTAATATCACAAAAAAGGCCTGAGAAGGAGGGGAGAGGAGGGCCGGAGAAGAGAGAATTATCCAGTTCTGGTAGCTTTAAAGATCCAGGAAATGGAAAGAAGTTGCTCCTATTTATATCTGTTGCCCAGTCGTCTGGGCATACACCAAAGCCTGATTGTACCCATTAGATTATCAAAGAGTTGCTTAATAGGACTCAAAATAATTACAAAATTTACTTGGAAAAACAAAATATCTAGATAGAATATCAAG